CTGAACAACGGGAAATCAAATTAAACTAGTTTGTTAGAAACATCACAACAGAGAAGTAAAACACTGCTAAAACATACTGTACAAACATCAAACTCTAGAGCTCCACCTGATGTCCACAAGTAGCATATATGAAATATCAATATCTTTTCTGTATATATATATATGCAAACTATTATTTTTATCCAAAAAATGAAACAAAACAAAATAACACAACTAGATTCCCTAGATCCAGAAATCATGGTACCCATCCTTCTGTTTACTCATATTGAGGTTTCTTCCTATAATCCTTCATACAAAGCCCCAGCTTCAGTGAAGAAGAGGGACAGCCAATAACTGCTGCCCCATAGTAATTCTATTAGTGACGTCATTGCCTAGACTCTGCAGCCATTGTTGCTGCTCTCTCCTCTACAAGGATGCCAGCGCTGGGACCCGATCACACGATCGAACTGTAGCAGCTTCAGAATAGGTAAGTATAGACATATTTTCCTTTACAGGGTAGATAGAATATTCTTAGAATGAGGATGGGAGTACATTTAGGCTTTGGTAGAAGTTGACTGGAATTCCACTTTAACACAATGGGGAGTTATGGAAGCAGGCTCGTTGATCTCTTCTTGTAAAATGATATTGTTTTTATGCATATCCTTTATTAATATACTATACAGCTACAAATAGCATAAGAATATGGAATAAGATATGATTTAATACAAACACTACTCTAATGAACTGATTCTATTGAGGACCATCCAGATGACAGAGGAACATCTATGGCCAATGGATGAAGGATGGATGAAACATGTTTTCACCACCAACAAAGAAATGGCAAACTCTGCAACTCAATTAATTAATACTCAAACACACGAATCTTTATTTCATGTAAATGGCACACACTGCTACAAGAGGCCATCCTTTTATTTATTGTCTTTGATGAGGGTGCAGCAATTAATATGAACCAGGTGTGAGTATTGCTTGCAGCTAATGTCTTCTTTCATTCTGTGTGAAATTGGAGTGTGGTTGTGTTATTTTAGCTCTAGCCTGTGGCAGTGGCTTACTTATTTTCCAGTTCCTGGGTAGTTGTTCCTTTTTTACTGCTAGTCATGTTGGATGTGTGCTGAACATTTGTGTCCTTTTCATATTAAACCCATTTAGTAGGGGCTGAATGTAATTTGGTCTTTTATTAATGCTGTATTACCCACTAAAGGATAAAGACAGTGTTTCCAGACCTTTCATATCATTCAAATCTGCCATAAGTACATTATAGAGTAACATTTAAAAGTATATTATCATCCCCAATAGGAAAAAAGAAATTTACTTTCAATCATATAATGCATTATTACTAAAAAATAAGTACCTTTTGTTGATATCAATAAATGTTTACTATTGAATGAAAAAAAAGAGTCAAATTAGACATACATCTTTTGTGCATCTGAACCCTATCAGCACTGTGTTTCATTAAATAGCCATGCTACCCACAACTGGTATTTCAAATATGGATGGAGCTTGGTGATCTGAGTGTTAATCCTTGACATCTTTTATGTCTTCAATTCTCCAATAGTGAGATCTCCTGGTCATAATTTCTCAACTCTTTTAGTGTTAATTAGAAACTTTAAAGTGTTTCAGCCCACCTTTTAATGGTCCAGGACCAAATATTTGTTCCTCCTTAATATATAAAAAAACATCCATCAGGAAAAGTGGGAACCCCTAACAGTACTGCAGTATGCTAGCAAAGATGCTACCTGCAGTGCAGTGAAAGAAGTGAAGGAAGAGCTTTAGTGAAGTCCATAGCATTCAGGTGCAATCAAACTTTCATTCTTAAACTGCCATTTTTAAGGGCAGATTTGAATCTACCATATAGGAATGTATTTAACGGTTTTTTGCTCTATTACATTTAAGCTTGAAGTCAGAACCGCTGTTGAGTAAAAAGAAAAGAATGTTAAATGCTCCGGTCATTCTCCCTTGAGGACTAGGACCAAGACACAACTGTTCCTCATTGAAGAGGAGCGCACTGCCTGGTCTACCTCACACCATGGCTGCTTCACAGTGTTGCTCTTTTACATTCAAATAATGCTTAGCAGGGTAAGTCTTTGGATGGGAATTCTACTATGTATGTTACCAATATAATGTAAGTGGGATAGGCATAACTGGTATTCTCAGCGGTAAACCATGTAGGAGGTAGGGATACCGAGGACCAGTTCAAGCAGATTTCTCCAGTAGTTTTATTCAGCAAGGCAGAAAACACATGTAGAAAAAGGAGTATAATCGAGCGCTGGACAGTTTTAGAGCGAAATATAAAAGCAGCTGGCATGAAAGGCAAGCCTCCAAAACGCCTCGTGGTGAACAGTCATATACAAAAACATGCAGCGCTAGAGTAAGTGGATCTATCTCATGATGAGGAGTGACCACTTAATAAGATATAAATGCAGCTACCATAATAGTTTTAAGCAACCAATATTATAACATTCTCATGGTTTAAGAAGGTGTAAATGGTGATAAAGGTGTCAAAGTCAATCTATCATAGGAGTGACGTAAATCTGTGACATCTGTGGTAGGAAATGTGGCTGTAGAATGCACTAACCAGATAGCGCAAATAATAGCGCATTGGAGTAAAATGACCTACTCCTGGTCACTGGATCAGGGAACCTGCCGGAATGGTGGTCGTCTCTGCTGTGGTCACCAGAGTCATCCGTGTCCTCTCCAGTTATGGAATTCCCAGGTATCCAGTGGAATAAACGCTCATCCGGTATGCAGTAAAATCCTTGTGTCAGCGACCTCCAGGGGTGCGATGTGCGCTCAAGGACCAGGAATCACCTTCAGGGCTCAGAAATAAACCCAAAAGAGAGGATGGTGCAATATACACTTCCAAAGATGGCCGCCCGTGTCAAGGTGTGGGCCATGTGGGTAGTGGTTGTAGGTCAAGTAGCATCTCACTAACGCGTTTCGTGGCAATTGTACGTTATCAAAGGGGAATTCCATAACTGGAGAGGACACGGATGACTCTGGTGACCACAGCAGAGACGACCACCATTCCGGCAGGTTCCCTGATCCAGTGACCAGGAGTAGGTCATTTTACTCCAATGCGCTATTATTTGCGCTATCTGGTTAGTGCATTCTACAGCCACATTTCCTACCACAGATGTCACAGATTTACGTCACTCCTATGATAGATTGACTTTGACACCTTTATCACCATTTACACCTTCTTAAACCATGAGAATGTTATAATATTGGTTGCTTAAAACTATTATGGTAGCTGCGTTTATATCTTATTAAGTGGTCACTCCTCATCATGAGATAGATCCACTTACTCTAGAGAAAACACGTGTAGTTTAAATGCAGGAGGGCTTTCTATAGCAAGTCAGTAGCAAGGTCTTAACTAGGGATACATGATACCATTTTTTGATCAATGAGTATGAGTATCAATACTTTCGGTCAAGTACCAATACTTTGCAATGTAATTTGTGTCAATACAAAATGCATGGACACAATTTTCACCGCAAAGAATAGCATACAAATTGAACAGGAATGTGATTCCACACAGGAGCTGTGCAGGAAACCTCCCCGCACCGATCCCATGGTGAGCGGAGAGTGGGAGAGAAGGGCATGTGGGGATATATACACTGGTGTCGGCTATCAGGCAGAGGATGGAGGCAGATGCTCCGGCTTCTCAGGAGTGCAAGAGGAAAAAAGCCAAGAGGATTTGAAATCCCTGTGGCTTTCTCTCCTCTCCTTTCAGGGATAACAGTATTGGCTGACCAATCAAAATTCATTTAGCCTGTAATGCCATCCCTGCAAGGAGAGGAGAAAAAGCGGCAGGGATTTCAATCACTTGCTACTCTTTGCGGTGCAATTTTCATCCATACATTTTTGTATGGATGTAAATCGCACTGCAAAATATCAGTTTGGATATCTGGAGCATTTTCATGAGTACGAGTACTAGTGAAAATACTGGGTATCAGCACTGATACCGTTTTTGGTATCTGTGCATCCCTAGCCCTAACTTTACATTGACATGGAGCTCTTCACAATGTCATGGTGGATTACATTAACCTGGTTAGCTAATTCTGAAACCACCTCTCGATTTTTTGACAAGAGCTTTCTTACCTCCTGAATCTGAGTAACAGATAGGGTCTCTGACATCCTAACCTCTGGTATACCATTTGGTGGTGATACTCTAGGGTCACTTCCTGCTAGAAAAGAGCCTCAAAATCCACAATTTTAGTTGTTGTTTTTTAATAAGATAGTTTTTATTAAGCAATATTTTTTTATAATGTACAGTACAAATATGCTGAAAACAATGGGCTCATACAAAAACTACATAAAACAGTAAAAAAAAAAAAAAACAAAACAAAACACGAAATTTAGACTGTCTCTCTGGTTAAAGTTTATGATTTTAATAGAGTGGTTATAAACTGTGGCCTACACCCCTTGAGCTTACTACATGTGTTCCTGAACTATGGGAATAGCTGTCACTGTCCTATCCTGCATCTGAGCAATGTGTTTAATTAAACTTTTGTGAGGTGTGGCTTCTTCCTCCCTTGTATGGTAACAGGAAAGCCCAGTTTTTTTCATCCTTATCTACCACTTTTTTTAACCACTTGCCCTCCCAAGGATTTACCCCCCTTTCTGACCAGGCCATTTTTTGCATTATGGCACTGCGTTACTTTAACTGACAATTGCGCAGTCATGCAACGCTACATCCAAATTAAATTTATGTCCTTTTTTTCCCCGAATTGAGCTTTCTTTTGGTGGTATTTGATCGCTATAAAAAAAAAAAAGACAGACAATTTTGAGAGAAAAAAACTATATTTTTTTACTTTTTGCTACTAAACATGTCCAGTAAAATTATTTAAAAAATCTAATTTCGTCATAAATTTAGGCAAAAATGCATTCTGCTACATGTCTTTGCTAAAAAAAATGCCAATACATGTAAATTAATTGGTTTACGTGAAAGTTATGGCAGTATAGATACTAGAATTTTTCTTTTTAACTAGTAATGGAGGCAATCAGCGACTTCTAGTGGGACTGCGGTGGGCATTCTGACACTGGGGGGAAATGACTTGGTGTCACTGACATCCCCAGCGACACCAATACAGTGATCAGTGCTAAAAAAAGAGCACTGACACTGTACTAATGGCACTGGGCAGGAAGGGGTTAACATGAGGGGCGATCAAAGGGTTAACTGTGTGCTGTGTGCTGTTTCTCTGTAAGCTGTGTCATGTGCTGCACTGTAATCACACTGCTTTGGATGGCTGTGCTGTGCACAGCCATCCAAAGCAGTGCGTACAAGCTGACAGGGAGGAGAACTGTTTTGTTTACAAACAGTTCTCCTCCCCATCAGAGATGCTCGGCAATCACCGTGCGCCAGCGAGTAATCACTGGCCAGGACCTGGTGATTGACAGCCACGAATGGCGGCACGGGTAGGGGGTTCGCGCCTTACACACTCCCCCTACCCGGAAATGCAAAATCACGTATATATACGTGATTTTGCACACACGTGCTGCCCTGTATATCTGCTATAGGCCGGTCGGGAAGCAGTTAAGCATACCTGGGTTTTATCGAACCATTCTACCAGCCCATTTGAGGGTGGTACATATGACATGTAATTTACAAAGTGTTTTATAGGACATGAAGCCTAGGCATCACTGTCATATACCTACTGTCTGCAAAATGGAGGGGGGGACTACACAAGGTACACAAAAGTGGAGGAAGGTAAGTAGAGATAGAAGTGTGTGGTTGCATCATATATGGAATAGCATACAGTAGCTTATAAATGGTTACACCTAATTACCTATAATAGGAAAATAGTTCCATGAGGTAAGAAACGCAGATGGGAAGTAGCAATCCTTATGTCTGTAACATGTACATTTTATATAGCATAGACCTATCAAAATATATCCAGAAAGCCTATGCATTCTAGAATCTGCCAAATTCATCCTTTTGGGTCATTTCCTCTATGTGACACATATACAGATCCACATACTGGCCAGCCAGGACTTCATAAGGGACAAATACTGTAATGATTTTTCGTTCTTTATGGAAAAAAACAGCCAAGCCATATTGAAAACAAGTTGAGGTTTTGAGATATATCATAGAAGCAGTTCTTTTTTTAGTAGTTCATACGGTAAAGAATCCTCCAGACTAAATCTATTTTCTTTCATTTGCAAGGGAAAGGGAGATCTCATGTCTTTTGTTGTTCCCCTAAAATGGCCAGTTTTCTCCTTAGTTCTCTATATTTCTCCATAGTTCTCTGTATATATTTATATAAGGTAATCATATACACCTTTAAAGCTGATTGCTGGGCTCCTCCACTCCCCCCACATTTTTCTACCCACTGCACTTTACCCTCCTCCTGCCAAATAGTCATCTAATTAGATCACAAAAATATCAAAAAGTTGCAATTGAGTAGACTGCAGTATGATAGGGTCCATCTTTGAGTGCCCCAGGTCCCTCCTTCTTGACTTGGATGCTTTCCTGGTTGTTAGGCCTGGACTTTAGCACTTGGTCTCTGGTCTCCGCTGCTGAAAGAAGCGCAGCTAGGATCATGTGATGGCAGACTTAGGTAGGTAATAATGTGGCTCAGTGGTGTTTTTTTTTTTTAATTATGGGTGTAGGTTGGAGGGATTGTTTTTTATTTTGCCCAGAAATTGGCTTTTCTCCAAGAGTGAATGCATTCAATTCAGATAAATAAGATATAGTGCTGTTGCGCTTAGGAATAGATATTCATGCAACTTTGATAAGTATACGCTGCAGTCCTAATTTGTGAACCAATAATACAAAAACAAACAAAATACCATATGAACGCGCATAAATTAAGTGCATTAAATTTAACAATACATGAGTGATAATGCTTCACATATGCAAAGTGAATAATTGTAACATTCAGTCCCAATTCGGAAAATTAAAGTGCCCAAGTGTTGAATACTAATTGGTGAACTTCGTGCAAAAATGACAGGTGCTCCTCTGTGCTCAATCCGTGCCCCACATGGATGTGCACTCACCGTTAGCCATGGACCTATCTCTAGGTTGATCTTTAGTGCCTGGTTTGGGGCTAGCCCAATGTGTGATGGTAAGAATGGCACCAATATTCATTCCTGGGAATCATGCAATCTGGCTGATAGTAACCAAAAGCGGGATATAAATTACAGTGTAGTTTCAAAAGAGCCTTTTTAAACTTTCTCCTCTCCTCCCGGGCAGTAAACCAAGTTTCAGCATGTGAACAGAAACAAAAGAAAACATCCTATAGTGTAAAACCATAAAAAATTTTAATGATGGAGAAAAATTAAAAGAATAAAACTCACAAGCAAAGTGCCCATAACCTGGCACTTAGTGTATTCAGCCTTGCTGTCTGTGAATAGGAACCAAGATGGCTGCCCGTCCCAGTGTGCGTTCCATCAGCAGAAGTTGCGTCTCAAACCTTGACCGATTTTGATCAATAGATCATCATCAGGAAGTTTTTTTATGGTTTTACACTATGGGATGTTTTATTTTGTTTCTGTTCACATGCTGAAACTTGGTTACAATTACAATTATTCACTTTGCTTATGTGAAGCAATATTACTCATGTATTGTTAAATTTAATGTACTTAATTTATGTGTGGTCCACATGGTATTTTGTTTATTCAATTCAGATAACTTTCCATTGTAGCTTTAGTCCTCCATGCCCATTAATAATTTAACAAACCTTGTCTGCACTCTTTCTGTTTTTCCTGACATCCTTTTTGTAAACTCATGCTCAGAATTTGCACTGTGTATTTAAGGTAAGACTATACTAATGTTTTGTGTACTGTAGATATAAACTGAAGACACTAGCTCTTGAGTCTGTTTCTTTAAATGCAAGGGTATATCTTGCCAACTTAAAATTAGCAGAGTGGTAAAGCATGCAGGTTTTAGGCCTATGAATTACAAACCCATTCAGATTATTTATTAACCCAATTTTGCCACAACTTCACGTCCACCCCCCCCAAGAAAAAGCAAAACAAAATTGTTTAGAGCATTTACGTAAGCCTATTCTTCTCTTAGACATATGAATAAAACCCAGTGTGAGACATTTTTTAATAATTTGTCAAATTTATTATTTTTTAAGTTAGTTCCAAGAGCATGCATGATTTACAGAATGAAGTGACACAAAGCAACCAATTCATTTTATATTTCATCAGTTCAAAGCTTTAAGAACCATGAAAAAGATTTCTGATTGGTGTTCATGGGCTATGGCAGTTATAAAATTGTTCTTTGCCTGGTTGAAAATAGACAGAGTGGGGTGTGAGCTGCAAAACAGTTTTTGTGTTCCAGTTGGAGGAGTCGCAGTGCACAGTCTTACCATAAATCTACGTATATCCTGCTGTGTGGAGGAAAAAGTCGGTGGTCATGAGAATTTGGCAAATTGTATACCTTTTAGCTTAATTTGGGAAGCCTAACTATAAAACAAACCAAGTAAGCCCTGTTCTAAGAAATCAGTTCTTTATTTTATTAGGGTATTGAGACTAGCCACATCTTTCTGGCAGGCAAAATATAATGTTAACTACAGCTGTACAATTTAAATTTATATTCCATTGGATGTTAAACAAGCCTGCTGTATCATCCCTTGAATAATGTGAGGTCTAAAACTCAGAGAAACCGTGAGGAACCACAGGGTTCCATATATCACTAAAGCTAAATAGAAGCATGGAATAGGTGACCTAAAAATAAAAACACATTGATTTAATCTATTAAAATTGTAACTGAACTGGCCACTATAAATTACATTCTAGTTCTGTTTTTTTTTCTCTACAGTAGCTTGGTGTCATTAGGAAAATATCAGAATATACACGCTTACTTTATTATGTAAATTAATGCTTGACTTTGCTAGTAACACCTATTTTCCCCAGTAGAACTATAAGCAAAACTTTTTTTTTCCCATTTTGGATAACGTAAGGGAGGGTTATAACTCCTGTCAGTTTTATTTTTTTCATCTGTGTCTCATTGTGGAGATTTCTCTTTTTTTTGAACTGGCAGTGGCTTTCATGCTTGTGCCACTGGCATTTGCTATAACTCCATGAGGTGGGAAGTAGACATTGTTCAATGTCCCAGGTGACACTGCGATGAAAAGGGCACACGTACCATTGTGCCTAATTTTCTATAGGGATCGTTGCCTTCAACATAGCCAATATCTTGAGACATTGTCTTGCAGAAACAAAGCTCCTAGGAATAGGGCCCTCCTAACCCTCTGAATTGAATGAATTGAATTGAATTGTATTGTTGCTGTATTGTCTCCATTTGTATTGTAAAGTGCTGCACAAACTGTTGGTGCTATATAAATCCTGTATATTAATAATAATAATAATAATAATAATGATAATGTCATCTAGGTATTGGCATTACCTTACCCCCTTATCTCTCCACAGTATGACAACTGCTGCTATCAACTTTGTAAAGGGGTATTAACCTGAAAATCCTTATTGTCTACTGTTAGCCTCAAGAGATCTGGAAGGATCTATTGGTATATACAGATACACATCCCTTTAATCAATTGAAACCCTAAAGTCTCCTGGCTGGACTGAATGAAAGATAGATACTCAATTTTTTAACATTCTGTACTGACCCCCCCCCCCCCATTTCATAGTGACCATACATTTTGGGCAGTATACCTCCTGATACTTCCGATTCTACGATAATGGAATAACTACATTCTGAGAGAATAGGGTCTTGACATACTTTTCCAATACCTGCTTCCTTCCTGAAGAACTGGAAAGCCTTGTTGGGACATATGTGATTCTGTGTAACCTCTTTAATGCCCCTTGAAATAGTTTTATGACTCAGGGGTTATAAAAGTCATCAGTGGCAGGTCTGGGAGGGCTTAAAATGTTTGTGTAGGAAGTGGAAAAACCCCTTCCATTGTATAAAATGTGGCACAGAATGATTGAACAGTGATGTATTCTTAAAACAAATATATGACATAGGTTTTGGACTGGGTAATTTAGACTTACCTCTAAAATGTTAAGTTAAAAAAAAGAAAAACAAAGAAACAAGAGTTTTCAGGTAGGAAAAAATTAAGTGACATGTTTGGTCTATTCTTTATTTGTCTGCCGCCAGATCGAGTTCATGAGCAGATGTAGACTAGCTGCCAGTAGGCAGAAGTGTATAACCACAACATGTGTTTTCTGTTCTTTATGACATGTCAAGCAAATAGAGAAAAAGCAACTTATAAAGAAATTGCCCGAGGTCACTGCATATTAACATAAGTTTGTAATAGAGCAAATGAAGTCAATTATCAGGAATTTTATTTACTATAAAATGTTCTAAAAGGCATATAAATATACACATCTCTTAATTTCCACCATTAGTGTGCTGCCCTTGGAATGGTTATAAAAAGACTAATGGAGTTTGTGAGGGCACTTCTGAACTTGGTATTGAGATTCACATTCCATATAAAAACTAGA